TCTGATATAGAGATTATATAGAATTTACCAAATACCCAATGTTTCTCCTCAGGTTTGAATGTATATATATATATATATATATATATATATATATATATATATATATATATAAGCGTGTGTTTGATAAATATATAATGACCTAGCCTTTGTTTTAAGAGTGGCCATTACAACTGCAGTTTATATGACAGCCTCTGGGAAATATATCAGTTTTAATAATGGATTTGTATTAAAAAGTTCCTGACTTCCTGCAGAGACGAAACCTTTTTCTTCTATAAACATTTCCTCTTTACAAACTGATTTTGCAACGTCATCCTTTCAGCTTTTATATTGATTCTCTGTACATTCCTATCGATTTTAACTTACGCTGAATAATGCTTGTCTAGTAATTTTATTGTTGTCTGGGATGGTGTTCGGTATAAAGCGATGGTCTTGTCTGGGATGGTGTTCGGGATAAAGCGATGGTCTTGTCGGTGATGGTGTTCGGGATAAAGCGATGTCCAATAGGTGATCATGTCGGCTTAGGATCAACAGAGTTTGTTGTAAGGTCAGGCTTTTAATCTCCCGATTGGTGGTAGATATTTTTGTACTAAAGTTCACTCAGTACAGGCATCGAGAGCCACTCAAGATAGATGATTAGTATTAAAATTGTTATGATGAATGAATCTTGCGAAAGAGTAGTTGGTAGGGATTGGAGATAATAAGGATAAGGGAACTAGATGACGATTGAGCATTAGTATTCAGGGAACCACCCACACAGGAGTAACAGTTATTGGGAATTGTGGAACTGTATTCTTACATTTGAAGGGCGGGGGAAATGTGATTGATTCGACTCCATGGAAGTAGCATGTCTCGTCCCAGCTGTCTGAACGGGTAGAAATAAAGAATGGAACATTCAGGCAAGGAAAAGAATGAAGGAAGGAAATGAGATGAAGGTAGGAAGAAATAAGGGAAGGAAGGAAGGAATAAAGGAAGGAAAGAAGGAAGGAAGGAAGGAGGAAAGGGAAGATAGAAATGAAAGAAGGAAGGAAAATAAGAAATGAAGGAAACAAGGGTGGAATGAAGAGAAGGATTGGAGGAAGGAAAGGAATGATGGTAGGAAGGAAGAAAGGAAGGAAAGCTAGAAATGAAGGAACGCAGAGTAGAATAATAGAAAGGAATGGAGGAAAAAAGAAATGAAGGTAGGAAGGAATAATGAAGGAAGGAAAGAAGGAAAGATAGAAATGAAAGATGGAAGGAAAGTAAGAAAGGAAGGAACGAAGGGTGGAATGAAGGGAATGATTGGAAGAAGGAAAGGATTGATGGTAGGAAGGAATAAAGGAATGAAGGCAGACAGGAAAGAAGGAAGGAAGTGGGAAGGAAGGGAAAAAAGCTAGAAAGGAAAGAAGGAAGGAATGTAAAAAATGAAGGAACGAAGGGTGGAATAAAGGAAATGAATGGAGGGAAAAAGGAAATAATGCTAGGAATGAATGAATGAAGGAAGGAAAGAAAAATAGAAATGAAAAAAGAAGGAAAGTAAGAAATAATGGAACCAAAGGTGGAATGGGGGGAAAGAAATTCAAGAAGGAATGGAAATGAAGGTCGGAAAGAATAAAGTAAGCAAGCAAGGAAGGAAGGAAGTAATGAAAGAAGTAAGGAAAGTAAGAAATGAAGGAACGAAGGGTCGAATGAAGGGAAGGATTGGAGTAAGGAAAGGAAATGGTGGCAGGAAGAAATAAAATAAGGAAGGAAATGAAGGAACGAAGAATAGATAATGGAAAGATATGGAGAAAAATGAAATGAAGGTAGGAAGCAATAATGAAGGAAGGAAAGATAGAAATGAAAGAGGGAATGAGAAAAACGATGGGTGGAATGAAGAGTGGAAATGTAGGAAGAAAAGAAAATGAAGGCTCGAAGAAATAAAGGTATGAATGAATGAATAGAAAGAAGGAAGGAAGGAAGGAAGGAAAGAAGGAAGTAAGGAAGAAAGGAAGGATGGAAGGGTAGACAGAAATGAAAGAAGGAAGGAAAGTAAGAAATACCGGAACCAAGGGTGGAATTGAGTGAAGGAAGGAAAGGAAATAAAGGAAGAAATGAAAGGAGCAAGGAAGAAAATGAAAGAATGAAAGAAATAAAGAAAGAAAGGAACCAAGGTTGGAATAGGTGGAAGGAATGGAAATGAAGGTTGGAAATAATAAAGACAGGAAGGAAGCAAGAAAGGAAAGAAAGAAGGAAGGAAGCACAAAAGGAAGGAATGAATGAAAGAAGGAAAGAAAATAAGAAATGAAGGAACGAGGATAGAATAATGGAAAAGATTGGAGGAAAAAAGGAACTGAAGGTAGGAAGGAATAATGAAGGAAGGAAAGATAAAAATGAAAGATGGAAGGAAAGTAAGAAATGAAGGAACCAAGGGTAGAATGAAGTGGAGGAAGGAAAGGAAATGAAGGAAGGAAGGTAAAAAGGAATGGAGGCAGGGAGGAAGAAAATAAAAGAAGGAAAGAAAGTATGAAATGAAGGAACGAAGGGTGGAATGAAGGGAAGGATTGGAAGAAAGAAAGGAATGATGGTAGGAAGGAATAAAGGAATGAAGGCAGACAGGAAAGAAGGAAGAAAGTGAAGTGGGAAGGAAGGAAAAAACTAGAAAGGAAAGAAGGAAGGAATGTAAAAAATGAAGGAACGAAGGGTGGAATAAAGGAAAAGAATGGAGGGAAAAAGGAAATAATGCTAGGAATGAATGAATGAAGGAAGGAAAGAAAAATAGAAATGAAAAAAGAAGGAAAGTAAGAAATAATGGAACCAAAGGTGGAATGGGGGGAAAGAAATTCAAGAAGGAATGGAAATGAAGGTCGGAAAGAATAAAGCAAGCAAGCAAGGAAGGAAGGAATGAAGTTGGAATGAAGGGAAGGATTGAAAGAAGGAAATCAAATGATGACTGGAAGGTATAAAGGATGGAAATAAGAAAAGAAGGAATGTAGGAAGGAAAGAAGTAAGGAAAGAAAAATTGAAGGAAAGCTAGAAATGAAGCAAAGAAGGGTGGAAAGAAAGCAAAATAGATAGGAAGGAAAATAAATGAAAATACGAAGGAATAAAAGCAGGAAGGGAGGAAAATAAGAAATGAATGAAGGAAGGATCGAATGAAGTGAGGAACTGGAGAAAAGAAAGGAAATGAACGAAGGAAGGAAGCAAGGAAGGTTTGAAGGAAAGCTAGAAATAAAAGAACGATGCAATGTATGAAGTAAGGGTGGAATGAAAAGAAGGAGAAAACGAAATGAAGGCAGCAAGGTATAAAGGAAGGAAGGAAGGAAGGAAGGAAGAAAAAGGAAGGAAGGAAGGAAAGGAAAAGGAAGAAGGAACGAAGGAAGGAAGGAAGGGGAGGAAGGAAGAAGGAAGGAAGGAAGGAAGGAAGAAAGGAAGGAAGGAAGGAAGGAAGGAAGGAAGGAAGGAAGAAAAGGAAGGAAGGAAGGAAGGAAGGAAGGAAGGAAGGAAGGAGGGAGGAAGGAGAAGGAAGGAAGGAAGGAAGGAAGAAGGAAGGAAGGGAGGAAGGAAGGAAGGAAGGGAGGAAGGAAGGAAGGAAGGAAGGAAGGAAGGAAGGAAGGAAGGAAGGAAGGAAGGAAGGAAGGGAAGGAAGGAAGGAAAGGAAGGAAGGAAAAGGAAGGAAGGAAGGAAGGAAGAAAGGAAGGGAGGAAAGAAGGAAGGAAGGAAGGAAGGAAAAAAAAAATATATTTAACTCAGTCTCAATGCAAAGCAATATTAAATTCTGTGACTCAGAGTTAAAACATTAATAAATAGTAGGTATCGAACGTTCATCGAACGTTCATTATTCACGATCACGAACCTGTTCACCATGAAATAAATTATTTTGATTGTGCAAAGTTATCACTCTAAAGACAAATAACATTCAGATCCTAAATTCTTTACACGTTGTTTATTTATTCCAAGAGTTCCTCATATAATACCAGCGTAAGGGTGTGTTGACTTGGGGCCTTTCTCTGAACGCTTATATATAGTTTCCTTTATCTGATTTTCCTACGCGACGACATCCTAAGCGAAGTTGGGTCGACCGCCTGTTTACATGTAGGTGACAGCCATTGACATCTTGTGAGTTTATGAGGTCCACTTGCATGTCAAGCCTCTAATGTATTTGGACGAAGAAGAATATTGGAAAAGCGACAACTGTTACCGGATTTGAGAAACATATTTTCCCGAAAAATCCTGGGTATTATCCCGGAGCGAAGAATCAGATCGGAAGCTTTTTGTGGAGCGTGAAGCCACCTCTTAATTGCTGTCCTTCCATGTTCCACCCTTAAGATGTATTTTTTTAAATTTTACTATTTATTGATAGTTAAATATATATATTGGTGCGTAATTTTAGCATAATTTAAAAAACAACTTTAAGTTTGCACATATTTCGTCTTAGTGTTTGACTTTGTATAGGAAAATGGCGCTCCGAAGGTGACAGTTTGAAATTGTCGAAAGTGCTTGGCATGTCACTTCCATCTGATAACAAATCGAATATAAGTCGAGTATTATTCAAGGATTTGATAGTAAGTCAATTTTTTTCCATATATAGGCAAAACACTGAGACGAAATGCCGCCAATTCCATCTGACAACAACTCAAATATACAATAACTCAAATATAAGGATTGTATTATTCAAAGAATTTATAGTAAGTTAATGTCTAATTAAGTCTTGTTAGTGAAGTGATTTCGCCATTAATCACATTAACATTGCTAATTAATTCTTTTTATAAATTGATTCTTTATGATAATCTATATATACTATATATTACCATATAAAATATATTGTAGAACAGGTGTATTGACCTTAAATACGTATGCTGTTGGCACACTGAATGATTTTAAAACTCTTAGTCGGCACATAGTCAACAAAAGGTTACCGACCTCTTTTGTAGAGAATCTAGGTGTTAGGAAAGCAATTTAAAAGGTAAGGCTTCCTCTATTAAAAGATAGCTGTCTCCAGGGCAGCGCATTTAACAAGAGCACACTTCTCACGTGAATAGTCA